TTCTTTTTTGGCTCAGAGTGTTCATATTTTTTGTGGAAATCTCTTATGGAACCCTGCGCTATGCTGTTGCCAAGTGTCGGTGCGATGATGCCTGGAGAAGAGGTAGAAATGGTCGCTGTGATTCACCCTACTAATCTTTGTCCCCATTGCTTCCAAACTCTAGCTAATTGTCCCTCCTGTAGCACTCGCACTCGGAACACCTCGGTTTTTTCCCGCCACTTAAAGGGGTTGCGGGAACCAAGAAGCTTTCCCCTTCGCCCAATGGCGTAATATTCCACCAGCACGTCTGACATTTGCACCATATGGATCTGGCCTATCCGTGCCCTGTCTCCTTATATAGCGACCCAGTCCCCTTCCTTCAAGGTGAGGCTGTGTTTGAGCATTCTATACCAGGCAAGAGGGATTACTTCAATGATTGCTTCCAGGTGCCTCTCTGTTTGATGACAATAGTGGAGGGTGCCTTGAAGCTGGGTTACCGTTTTCCAGTCCTTCCTCTCATGGTCCCACAGGTGCCCAACGCGTAGAATTTTGCTTGCCGGTGATAAGCAACTGGACTGACACCCCCCAGAACAGAAGGGGCCCTTGCTTTGGAGAAAAAAAAAAGGCTCTGCGTCCACAAATTTTGATAGCAGGGCAGAATTTTGAAGTTGGCACTGTGCACACCTGGAATCATCAAAAGCAGAGGGCAATCAATGCTGCCCAATGCCCATAGCTCATATTTGACTCTGGCTTCTGTCGTGTGAACTGGGACGCTGAACCCCATTTTCATCGGCGCAGCTCCCCACTGATAAATAAGAGCCATCCCGCAGGCGAGGATCTCTACTGGGCCTGGGTCCCACTACCCGTAGCCTTCGTTGAGCTGGCCGCTGTTGAGTTTCCAAGTATTTGCAGCATACAGTGACAACCAGGACTCGTAGATTCATTTTTGTTCGCATGGCCGAGAAATTTGGGTACGATTTCCAAAAGAAGATAATAAAACCTAAACTAGGAAGAAGGGAAAAAAAAAAAAAAAACTGAACAGAAATGGCATCCTCGTTGCTTTGCTTGCTCCTCAAAAACTTTGGAAAATGGGGCTGGCTGTAGAAGTGGGGTAGTTCGTTCAACAAGTGAAGGCAAGCAAAGGCCAAACCGAGCCGAGGCAGCGTAACGCCGTCCACTGCCTAACCACGCCATTACTGTCAGTTGGCGTCAGGCATCTGTCCTCCCTCCGCCTCCCAAAACATGTTGCACCATCAAGCAAACTCAGGGCACGCTCACACTGGGTACCTAAACCGTAAAACTCCCAAAAAAATGTGCACACGGCTGGTCACACACAATGGTTCCGACCCCAAACACCCCATTCGCAAACCCATTTGTCAGCGGCCTGCCTGGCCGCGGGTTTGAGGAATTTGTGGTAACCTCCAGAGGTTACCGCAAAATCCTTATTCTTTTTTTATTTGATTTTCGTTTTTTTTTTTTTTTTTTTTTTTTTTTTTTAACCAAACACCCCCCCGCCAGTGATAGTGTTGCTGATGAAAACAGACATCACTACCACCCGGGGAGAGGCTCCATCTATTGGTGGGGAGCATCACCTGCTGGAAACCGGGTCCAGCGTCCCATGAAACTTGAACATCGAACAGAATTACAGTGCCGTAGGGAGAGACTCCCGCCAGCATTGATTGCCCTGGAGCCCAGGGGATTGACTGAGCAGGAGGGACGGAAAGGGGGAGCCTCTTCACCGAAATCCCAGCGCCAAATGCCTACTGTTGTACCCTAGCTCCCCCTCCCCCCACCTTCCTTTAGCTATGCTTCTTAAAAACTGAGAAAGCAAAGCAGAACCAGCCTCGCAGACAATATTGCTAACCGACTGTGAGACACGTCCATGCTCCTCCCCATTATGGCTGGGAGGCCCGAGTGCCCTCCTCTACATTCCGTACCACTGCATCCCTACCAGGCAGTTGGATTGGGGGGGGAAGGGGTCGGGGAATTGCTCGGGGGGTCTGAGGGGGATCTCTGCATCAAGCTTAGCCCAGTCGTTGAACAGCAGTCGGTAATCCCTCTCTATCGCTGCTCCCTGTTGGCCCTCGCCTGACTCCTTTGCCTCTCCCATCCATTCTACCTTCCCAATTCTTCCTCCATCGGGGCCTCCCAGCCAGTTTGAACTGAATTCTTGTATTTTCTGCTTGATGTCTTTTTGGTTTTGCAATGATCTAATCTTAGTTTTGACTGCCTCCCATTTGGCTGTTATTTCCGTTTGAATCTGCAGTACCACGCTCTCAGTAAACTCTGGGCCTTCTAGCCTCGCCCCTTCCATTTCAAATGTGCAGCGCCGTTTCCACAGTGCCTTGAAGACCGCTCTTCTTCCCAATATGAACAAATTGGACGTGAATTCCTTGCGGTGCTCTGTCAGTCTCCCGGGCCAGGTCTCGCAAAACAATGCCTTCCACTTCCAGGGCCAAGGTGTGTCCGTGCCCAGATGACTCCAAATTCTGTCCCACCACCTCCACATCCACAGTGCTCCTGGGCATTTTAAGAATATATGCTCTGTTGTTTATGGGTGCTTTCGAGCCGGGAAGGCGTTTGTGCATAGTTTGCACCAGGTAGGGCCATTCCCCGTTACTCCAGTGTTGTTCTATCACTTAGCCAGTCATTGGTTGACAGGCAGCGGTGTTATATCTGCCAGTGACGTGATGCGATCTTAGCCGGTTTTTCCTTAGCCAACTGGAACCATTTAATGGGTCTTAATGCCGCCTCACTGATGTTTAGGTGAGCACCCCATAGGTCTTTCACTTGATCTGCAAGGTTATTTTTTGGTCTGAGCAGCCTATATGTTGACTTAAAAAAAAAAAAAAAAAAAAAAAAAAAACTGGCGCCTGCCATCAGAGGTGATACGAGCATCCCCTGATGATAGGCTCCTAGTATGGCTCCATTCTATTGGTGGGGAGCTGCACCTGCTGGAAACCGGGTCCAGCGTCCCTTTAACAGAATAAATAGGAAAAAGTTGGTACCTCTTCACCCCCCTTCTAGGGGCGCCAGATATTGTCTTTCTACCCTAGCACCAGAAACTATTCCTAGGTTCAAGAAAAAACCCTTCTAGGGGCGCCAGATATTATCTTTCTTCATTAGCACCAGAAACTATTCCTAGGTTCAAGAAAAACCTAGCTAATCCACACCATACCAACTCAAAGGAATATATGTTGACTTTACTGTTAGTCCGTAGAGTGTTTTTGTGTAGTCCTTGCCCCTCCGTCTTTGGGATGTCCATGACCACTCCAACGGATCCAGGGGTAGGTGCTGGATCGGGGAGGATGGCCTAAGAGCTATCCATTGTCGGTTCTTCTGGAGCACCCTAATACGGAAAAGTTCAGTCCTTGGATGTACCGATGACATCTCGTCAGTGTTTTTGTAAAGGGTGTTTCCTTTCTTTACATGGAAGTGGTCCACCGTTGCGGAACCATCCGGATGTATGGAGCTAACCCTGCCCACACCCCCTATGCTTGTCGGGCATGCCACCCAGTCATCTTTCTGTAGGGCAGGGCCCTTGCGCAGGGTTCTCAACCAATCTATAGGGACCATTTCCGTTACTTTTCCCAGGGCCTCTTGGGGGTGGTGGCAGTACCGGAGCTGTTCCCGCAAAAGGTTCGGCTCAATCCAATCCTTCTTTTCTGAGTCTGAAATATCCTGTATCCTTATGACCCCTTTCCTGACCCAGCCCTACCATGGCGACTCCATGCAGTGGAGTGTTTGGTCATTCGTGTCTGTTTATCCACCTGTTGCCGAAAAAAGGTTGTCGCATCACCTCCTCCCATCTTTCTGGTGGTATTTTGTCTGGGAGGGGGAGGCTTCTCCAAGTTTTGAGGAGGTTGGGCCAGAAGGAATCATTCGCCAGGTCGTTCCTGGCTGATTGCGTGGATGTAACATGATGGGAGTCCCGTTATCCTGACCCTCTAGGGATGGCCCAACTCTATTTTTATTTAATTTTCGTAAATGAATGCAAAGTTGAAAAGGGAATATGTACGTTCTATATTTGGGGTTACTTCTGTGTGACTGGAAACCCCAAACAGCAGCACCCTGATGGCACGGTAGCGACCGTGTCTTTAACGAAATGGGAACGCGGTGTGAACGCAGTGTGACCTGAAACGTCCCAAATACCCCAATTCGGCCCAACCCATTTTCGCAATTTATACAGATTTGCTACCGCAGTGTGAGCGTGTCCTCAATAGGCGGGACCCAGCCCCTGAAGGCTGCTCCTTTTTCTTTTCTTATTTTCTTATTTTCTTATTTTCTTATTTTCTTATTTTCCTCTTTTTTTTTTCTTTTTTTTTTTTTTGTGTGTGTCAGCTGGAAATCGGGTCCAGCGTCCCTTGTACAATGATGTGAAAGGATGCCATACTACGCATCCGATGGTATGTGAGGGTGTACTTTAAGTTTGTTTATCTCCCCATAGAGCAGAAGGCATTGATTACTTCCCCGGAGAAGGGAAGGATTGACCTCCTGCGCACATGACCAAAACCCTAAGTAAGACCATCTCCATCAAGCACCCCAACAGCCAAAAGGCGCCCATGCACGATGCCCTAAACAACCTACCCCTACACGTCATCATGATTGGGGATTGAAGGCCGGGCAATCCCAATCAGTGGAGGGTCGTCGTTTATCCCACTCCCACCCGCTGTGAAGCGAAGAAACGCAGATCAACAGGGAGAGACACCACGCAGAAGCCGTTGTTGTTGTTGTTACTATCACCGTTGTTGTTGTCGTTGGTGTTATTGTTGTTGTCGTTGTTATTGTCGTTATTGTTGTTATTGTTGTTGTTGTTGTTGTTGTTGTCGTTGTTGTTGTTGTTGTTGTTAGCCGCCTCCAACACTGCAGGCGCCGCAATAGATGATGTCGCTGATATGATCGGTATTGGCGTTGTGACCCTCGTTGTCTTCGCGGCCTCCAATATCACCGGTGTCGATGTTGATGTCGTTGTTGTTTGTTGGTGTTGTTGGTGTTGTTGTTGTTGATGTTAACGTTGTTACCTCTGTTGCTACGTGCGCCTCCTCACCATCAATATTGCCCTCCAACCGGTCTTCCAGACGAGCACACAGATCGCGACCCTCATTGAAGAGGGTTTTGCAGACAGACATGATGCCATCTGCCCTCCTCCAATCGATGCAGACGTTAAGCCGAGGATCTGGCCCCTCCTCCAGCTCCCAGATGATCTCCAACATGTCCTCACTTTTATCCTTCAACCAACCAGCCAGAGAAATCGCACCCCCTCCGACCTCTGGCTCCACTTGCAGCCGCAAAGACATGTCCCTCACAATCTCCTGTAGCCATCTGCGTCCGTTCTCCAAGGTAATCAGCCATTCGTTCGCTCCAAGGTGTAGCTCGCTCTCCAAAATCTCCTCCATGGTAGCCATGGCTCGCTCAAAGAGCTGCGCCGCTATTGTGCAGTAACCTTCAATCAATCACGGCTGGCGCTTCCCCTGTTCACGCGTCGCGGGGCGTCCACGCCACCAAAAGACAGGTGGCACGTGGCAAGCTGAAAGCCACGGCCACGTGTTGGGCGCGTGCACAGGCCCAGCGGCCTGGAGGGGGCTTACCTCTCCAACACGCTGGTCAAGCCGGGTGCAGTCGGGCCTCGTCGGTCGGTCGGCGTTAGGGCGCTAGAGTCGCCTAATAACCCTTTGTTTTAGGGTACTGTTCTCGTCAGCAATTTATATTTTCTTTTCCGACACTTTCATCATGATTTCCCTTTTTCATGTTCACTCTCTTGAGTGTTTCCATCCTGGGATTTCCATCACAAAATTTTACTCAACTATACACTGTCCCATGAGATTTTTTTCCAGGTTAATTGGCCGCTTCATCCGATGGGTGTGCTTCAGTCGGGATAGGGCTTTTGTGGTCACGGTTCGGATTTTTGGGGGAAGGGTGGGGGTTGGTATTGGGGGGCCTTACTTAACAGGGGCGCTGCAAGGTGGGAGGTGGCTGCCCTGTCGGGG